TTTTTTTTTTTTGGTTTAAGGGTAATTCTATGTCTATGCAAACAATCTTGCTGGAAAGGGCAGATGTCCCAAAGCATCAGCTATTGAAAGAGCATGACTTTCGGAGTCACATAGCCCTGGAGTTCAACCCTGAAGGCGGGGGGTTTATCCACTCCTGCCACCCTAGCTGCTGCTCTGGACCAGAGTTAATAGTAACACAACAGTTATAAGACTGGAAAGCTTTGTCTTTTATTTTACACATTTCCTTACCTGTAGGCAGGAACCCTTGACTAATTCCTGAGGCATTTCTGATACCAGTGTGCCTGTGGAAGGCTCTGAATATGGCTCATGATTACATTCACCTGATTAACCCAAAACCCTCCCAAACAAGACTTCTTTAAGAGCAGGCATAAATGGAGCAGAAACCATCACGAACACTTCAGCTTAATCCTAGGGAAACAGCTGACCAGGCCCTACAGAGAGCCAGGATTATTGCCCTCATTAAAAGGTAATTTACAGCTAGCATGGCTTTTGTTTTAGCATCTTGATCGCCTGCAAACAGCCACCTGCTCCTCTTCTGCGAAGGATCAGGATCAGGATGGCGGGGAGTACTGCAGCTCAGAGCTGGAGGCCCAGCACTTACCCCCTTGTCACAACAGCACCGTTTTCACCGTTCTCCACTGCCGCTGGGGCTTTCACTGCAATCCGGGGGACTGGGGGAATCTGTGCAGGGAGGAGGGGGGAAAGAAAGGAATGTGAGGATGTAGCCGTGTCCCCAACTCTGGCCCTGACTGGGGCCATTTGAAAGAGGGATGACTAACTTGTCTGAAGAACAATGAGCCTACAGCAATAGTTCTCACAACTCAGTGGGCCACAGACTCCCTAGAGGGCTTCTTAAAGCAGAGGACAGTTCCTGATTCTGCAGGTGTGAACTGGCGCCTGAGAATTTGTATTTCTAGCAAGTTCCCAGGTGCTGCTGCTGATGTTAGTTTGGGGCCCCACTTTAAGAACCACCAATCTTGAGAAACGGCAACTCAGCCCTACCTGAGAACTCTGTCACCCCTCACACCTTCCTGTATCCAATTTGTTGTCAGCTCCTGCAGATTCGTGCTTTGAAATACTGCCTGGATTACCCTGCTCTCCATTTCCACTGATACAACCTTCAAGAGTCTGTCACCTGCGGTCTTCTTTTTCCAACCAGACTCACCAAATTCACCATGCTGCTCCTTTAATCCAGAACCCATAAGTACTCCCTACTCTACTGCGAACTTAGGCCAGCTCCGTACCTTGCTCTTCAGGGCCCCTCCAACACAGCCTCCACCTTATCTGTGCAACTATGCCCCTGAGCATCATCACCACCAGCCAGGGCTGTCATGCTGTTGTCTCCTCCCAGTGCCACCACACCCCCAGTGCCTGAACACAGCTCTGCATCTTCTCTTGCCTCTTCCTTGACCGTCTGGATTGAGGCCTTACATCGTCCTGCCCCGGCTGGTGGCCCAAGTTGATCTTTCTCAGTCTTGATGTCCCCACAGCACTTAGTGTCTGTGTGACATGCCTTGGCATCCCACCAAGTCTATCTCTTTATGGTTCTCTGGTTGTTCCATATATTTGTCCCATATCTTCTTCCCAGGAAGACTGCATGGCCCCCCTTGTGGCCCTTCTCAGCCCTTCCAAAGGAGGTGGCAAGTGCTCAAGCAACTCATACCAAATCGAAAATTCACTGATGGTCTGACCCGTCCAGAGGTCAGTGGGCGAACCCTATACACAGGGCTTTGTCCCTCCATCCCAAGCCCCATCAAATGCTTAAAGGCACCACATTCCTAGAATTTCTGGGGCACCTCAAGCCGAAGGCACCAGTCTTTCCCACACCACTCCTGCCCTCCTGAGCTGGCCCACGCTGTGGGCAGAGTTACTGCGCCACCTTGTGGCCTCTCTGGAGTTCCCACGCTCCCGCCTCTGCCAACAGCCTGAGAGAGCCACGCCCACCTCTCCTTCACTCTGGAGGGAAGGCCCTTGTTCCCCACTTCCTTTCCCCTCTTTCCTTAGTCCAAACTCGTTCGGTGCAGCTCAGTGTTGACTCAGATGCAGCTTTATAGGTTGCGGGCTCGGGGCTGCTCACAGGCCCTGGTATGATGGCCTCCGTGAACTGCAGGACCCAGCTCACATCTCAGGCCCAGGAGGGTGGGGGCCAGCCAGCCTCTTCCCCTCTCCATGTTACTATTGCCTCCCTCCATAGCCATGTCCCTAGCTCCACCCTATCCCATACCACTAGCAATGGTCTCCCAGCTGCAGCCACCTCGCTGCCAAGGGCACTGTCTGAGCCTCGAGCCTCACTCCTCCCCTTCACCTGGGTCTTTCTCTGAGCCCCACAAAAGCAGCTGCTTGGCCTATCACAGCCTGACAACCATCCCCTGTGGCAATGACCCAGCCTCCCCATATTCCCTGAGTACAAGGTTGGGACAGGGGGCTCCCTCACAAAATGGCTCATTCCATCCCTGCCACTCCACATGGTTTTCCTAGCACAGTGAGGAGCTGAATGGGATCCCTGCATTAAATTTCCTGCCAAGTCCACCAGTACTCTCAATATCTCTGCACGATTTGTTAAATATGGACGAGGCGGCTGCTGAAAGCCTCACAGGTCTCTTGTAGTTCTGCCATTGCATGATTCTATGAATCTTGAGAGCTGATGTCAAAAAAGCCCAGGATTTCCTAGGGTGCCCAGCTGCCCTCAGCCTCAGCCACAACTCTAACACCTACAGTGCTAACCGAGAGGGGGCTGACATTAATGTCGAGAAGAAGATGAAGGAGGTGTGGTTTTTTCAGATTGACGCTGAGATGGACCTGGAGACGTGCCACCTGGATCCTCCCTTGAGGACCTTCTGGGTCAGCCTCCACTGCAGAGGGCCCTGGGCCCAAGGTCATGCCTTTCCTGGGCAGCCCCCATGCACTGACAGAGCGAGGAGGGAACATAAAGGCTGGGCCATTCTGGCCTCACTGGAGACAACTCTGATAAGCAGCTCTCACCCTGAGCTCCTTGCTGGAGCTGTTGGGCCTGCGTGGTGGTTGGACTTCTCCCTCCCCCAAAGCCTGCTTTCCTTCTCCTGTCATTCATGTTGACCCCGAATATACATCTTGTACCCCAAACTCCATTGAGGTCTTGGTGGTTCACTGGTAGAATCCTCACCTTCCATGAGGGAGCCCCAGGTTCGATTCCTGCCAATGCACCTCATGCTCAGCCAACACCCGTCTGTCAGTGGAGGCTTGCCTGTTGCTATGATGCTGAACACGTTTCAGTGGAACTTCCAGACTGAGATAGACTAGGGAGAAAGGCCTGGCAATCTACTTCTGAAAATCAACCAATGAAAACCCTATGGATCACAAGGGAACACTGTCCGAGCCCCAACTGATGATGGGGATGGTGCAGGACTGGGCAGCGTTCTGTCGCACTCGATGGCAACTAACAATAACCTCAAACTCATCTCAGTGTCGGCCTCCAGAGACCCTCATCCAAGCAGATGTCCTCCAAAGGAGGCGCCCTTCTCCTGAGATTTCTGCTATTTTGTGTTTTACATCTCCTTACTCCTGTAGTTGTACTTGGGAATTAAGTAGCCAATTCCAACTGGCAGAGCCCTAAGCTGGAAATCAGTTCTTTCTCCCCATTTATGAGATGTCCATTGGGTAATACCTTCTTCTGTTTGCCTAAGAGCTGAATTTCTGGCAAGAGAAATAGAAGCAGCTGGTGAGTGCCACAAGGACACAACACAGGGTCCACTGACATGCTTTTAGGAGCAAAGAACCCTCAGTTAAGCTTTTCTAATAATTCTCAGGCCTGGAACAAAGGACAATTAGTTAAAACAAGCAGAGCGAGAAGTTTAAAACATAACAGCTACCAGTAACCAGTCATAGCTTTTACTTACCAAAGATTTTCCATATGCTCGGTTCCCACACAGATTGGATGATTTGGGATCCGAAAGCCCCACTGCAAAGTTGAACAGAGGAGATGATTACTCAGGGGTACTCTGTGTTCTGCCTCCCGTTTCTGCATCAATTATCCCCATAGCCAATCCATTACAAGCAGGGAATTACTAAAGGCCTTTGTATAAAGCAGGAAAACCAGGAAGTGGGGTCAGGCAATGGAGCAACGGCTGGGTGGTGTGGCCTGCACCCCGGCATTCTTCAGGGTGGGAGGGAGGGCCTGGAAACAAGGCCTTATGAAACCACATGTGCGCAAGCACTGAACACTGTCTGTGCACAGTAGGTGCTCAGAGAACGTGCCCTCACTTCCTCCTTGCCTGAGGCTCCCATCACGAGGGGCCACCAGATGTTAAGCCTTCTCAAGTGGGATTAATATTTAACATGATGCCCCTGACACCCCTCTTATAGAAAGAGCAGAGAAGTCCTGCCCGCAGGGCGAAGTGCAGACCCATTCTGTGGAAGGACTGGAATTGATCAGATTAGAGACCTGAGATTTAGGGGATGTATCAGGGGAGAAGCTTCTTGTTAATGCCTGTTCCTGATGTCTCAACATACTTCTGAGTAGCTTCAACCCCAAAGCCTGCAGCTTCTAAGAATCCAGGTACTAAGCTGGAGTAGCTGGCAGAGGTAGAGGAAGGTTGGCCCAGTCCTCTCCTGGGGCAGATGTTTCAGGACTAGCCCCATCCTATTGCACTGCAGCATATAGAAATAAAACACCTCTCTCAAGAAAACAGTATCTCAATGTCAACAAAATGAAAATTTACGAGATTACCCAGACCAAGCCATACTATATGGTATCCTGGCATAAGTGATTGTAATAGCAGCACATATTTCTGAGTATCTGCTATGTGGCAGGCACTGCGCTGGGAGAAAAGCACATAAATAGTATCTCACTTAATCCTCACAACAACCCTAGCAGGTAGCTATGATAATTTCCCCCATTTTCTAGATGAGGAAACTGAGGCTTTAGAGATACTTGAAAGTTATGGTGAAGCCAGGCAAGGATGATTTAAGGGAATGGTAAACTGACCTCTCTGGTGATCTTATGGGGTTAGGGAAGCTTCACTGAGGGTCCCCAGCCCAGTCTGGGAGGAGGTGGAGTTTGCTGGGTAAAGAGACACAGGAAGAACCATCCCACAGAGAAGACAGCATTGGCAAAGGTCCAGGAGAACGGAACATAACGGAGTAGACACAGAATCACACCGCAGCTCAGGATGGTTCTGAGTAACAGGATGGTGGGGGCAAGGAGGCAGCCCTGGAGGCTGCAGCAGAGGACGGGTCCTGAAGGGCCTTGAGCATGGTCTCCTGAGAGGTGGGGAGCAAAGGGAGCGCAGTGAGGTCCCGATGCCGGGGGATGACAGAGGCAGGTGTGTGTCTAAAAAGACCTCTGGTAACCCTGTAGAGGGAGGGTGGACTGGAGGCTAAAGGCCAGGGTTGGGTGCTACCCACACGGGACAAAGGGGGCCTAAGCCAGGTACAGAGAGCGGGAGATGAGAAATATCTAGGAGCTGACCCCGTCTGTCTAGTGTGTGAGGGGTGGGGTGGGAGATGGACAGGGAGGTGTTGGGGGAAACATCCCAGCACCTGACTGGAATGGTGGATGGTGACCCAGCTGAGAAGGGAAGAGAGGTTTGAACAGGTGGATACTGAGGTGCTCAGGACATCTCGGTGGAAGTTCCAGCAGGCAGCTAATGTGGGTGCGGTACACCTCACATCCTCCCAGCCAATCCTCACAGGCCCAGGAGGCAGGACTGTCCCCTTTCCAGGCACCTGAGACTCAGGTGCTCAAGGCCTCATGGAGAGAATTTCTCAGCTGGGTCTCTGCCTTCTAAGCTCCTGTGATTTCCAGGGTACCCCAAAACATGTTCCTCCTGTGTGAGAAGGCTGCAGCATCCAGGAGCCTTCTCCTACAGCTCAGAAAAACCAAACCACCAGATCT